TTAACCTGAAATTATGTAGGTTAGGAACTTGAAAATTTGTGAAACTATATTTTTTTGGGTGATGAATAAGATGCGTGTTGTAATTTCAGCATTGCTCGGTAGAGGGCGCCACTTACGACCAATTTTACCGAAAATTTAGTTAATAACTTTTTACCCTGTATGTCTAACATGAAACTTGATTCAAAACCTGAAAGAGCAATCATTTTTCCATTAATTGTGTATTCTTGTTTCATTTCGGTATCTCGATCCGTTTTCGAGAAAAATCGATTTAACGAACACTATGTTTTGATAATACGAGAAATTAAAAGCGAAACAAACCAAGTGTTTCTTCGTGTTATTACAACAATTAACAATAAAACAAATGAAATTCGTAATAATGATTTAAAGTCAGTGTTCGAAGAATCCACCGTTGACATTTACACACTTTACACAACGTTTTCTGAGAGATCTTCGAGTTTGAAACAACATATTGGGATTGCGTTTGACTTCGTTGGCAGCGATTTGTATTCTTTGCCACAACTCTTCACACGAACCAATAGATTCTTCCAAATAGAAAAATGAAGAGGATTGAAGTCCGGACTTCTGGGTGGCCAAGTAAAAATGCTTCCACGGCTTGAAGAAGTTCCACTTTATTTAAGAAGAGACATGTGGTTCATGCACGACGGAGCTCCACCGCATTTTTCTTGGCCAGTGCGTGCATATTTAGATGCAGTTTTTCCAAATCGCTGGATTGGCCATGTAAGCATTTTTGCTTGGCCATCCAGAAGTCCGGACTTCAATCCTCTTGATTTTTCTATTTGGTCTCGAATGAAAGATATAGTTTACAAAGAATCTATTGGCTCGTGTGAAGAGTTGTGGCAAAGAATACAAATCGCTGCCAACGAAGTCAAACGCAATCCCAATATGTTGTTTCAAACTCGAAGATCTCTCAGAAAACGTTGTGTAAAGTGTGTAAATGTCAACGGTGGATTCTTCGAACACTGACTTTAAATCATTATTACGAATTTCATTTGTTTTATTGTTAATTGTTGTAATAACACGAAGAAACACTTGGTTTGTTTCGCTTTTAATTTCTCGTATTATCAAAACATAGTGTTCGTTAAATCGATTTTTCTCGAAAACGGATCGAGATACCGAAATGAAACAAGAATACATAATTAATGGAAAAATGATTGCTCTTTCAGGTTTTGAATCAAGTTTCATGTTAGACATACAGGGTAAAAAGTTATTAACTAAATTTTCGGTAAAATTGGTCGTAAGTGGCGCCCTCTATGAGCAATGCTGAAATTACAACACGCATCTTATTCGTCGCCTAAAAAAATATAGTTTCACAAATTTTCAAGTTCCTAACCTACATATTTTCAGAATAATCGCAAAAAACGATTTAAAATTTTAACTTTCAACACCCTGTATTTCCGAAACTATTAACTTTTGGATAAGGCATGTTTGCGCCAATGGTCACCATTTCACGTGTAGTATCTTCAGCTTTCGACTTTCCCATTGTTAATGAATCACCCTGTATGTATTATAAACAAGTCATAATAATAATAATACTGTCATAATCAGTTATTGGCTTGTAGTTTTATAATTAAATAAGTTAACTGTGGTTCCCAAAATACGAGGTGATTTACTTTTTCATGATAAATACAAATAAAAAACATGTAGATGTTGATGTATTAGATGTATTAAAGGATTATAATGAATACACATACACATATTGGGACACAAAATTTAGACATTTATATTTGTTATGAAAAAATTGTATTTTTTTATTCTGTACACTAGTCAAATATACTCATATCTTTGAGTACGCATAAATTATTTTATAAAAAAATAAGCATATTCAGGTGAAAAGACGACAAAAAATGTATGCTTGTACTAGTGCTACTAATACTATTCTTTTTACTTTGACAATTTTTCACAAGCTCGAAGCTTATTGCACATGCACAAAATCGTTGAGGAAAATATTTAATAAAAATGCTTAAACACGTCGATTTTTACTTTTAAATTCAACCCCATGGTTCAATGTAATGCCTTGATTTATAGCTTTTTTTAATACTGAATACAATAAAAAAAATCATAATTAGTTGATAACAGCGTGGTAGAAACAATTTTAGTTTGGCTTTCCGGGCTGATTGAGCGGATTTCTTGTCGAATTATTCCCTTTAAGGGCTCAATATTTTCAGGTCTATTAAATAAATTTTCGTTTAATAACCCCATAGAAAATAATCCAACTGGGTTAAATTCAGCCATCTTGCTGGTTATTCACTAGATTCCCGTCATCCCGTCTACCAAATTATCTGTTAGGCGCGTCGTTTTGCTGTCATTCTGGGATCCAGTGGATCGGGATCATCTGCATTAGGAAACAATACCGCTAAAGAATTAGTTCAAATTGCAGGAAATCCAATGTTCACCACCTAGCATTCCGTCAAAGAAGTATATTTCAATAATTCGATTCTACATTATTCCAGCTCAGACTTTAATTTTTTGAATGTCGATCAACCCATCAATTTGTCTGACAAATGAAATATGTTATAGTTTGAGTATGCTGATCAAAAGTTGTCACAGGCCCAAGACCCAAAAATTAATACTTATCGATATAAGCGACATTGAAAGTGAGAGTCCCATCGCGTCTTTTTTACGAAAAGTCGTATGATTCTTCTCTTTTGTATACTTCTATTGTCCTTTTTATTTACACTTCTTTACATTTCGCCCGTGTTTTTAGTTTACACCTGCTCTTTTAGTTTTAATTTTTACTCGCGTTTTTTGCCCGCTTATTTTTTTACATTACGTCTGCCATTTTTAGTCCTGCTTGTTTTATTATACACCCTCTTGTAGACAGGGTGTTAGAAATTTCACTTCCTTAATTTTAACAGACGATAGACTACATTAAAATAAACAAAACAACCTTTTATGACATGGGTCCTAAACTCAACCATTTCCGAGAAAAAAAATTTCAAAATCTCCAACTTGATGTACAAAAGTTCGATTAATTAAGGAATATTAACGTAACTGCGTTCATAGAATACCATAAAATACAATGTTTATCACCTTTTTAACTTCTTTACGCTTAATTATAAAAAATAATTAACGTTGTAATTAATTTAAAATTCGATAAAATTCATATAGAGCAATGTGACAACGGCGCGGCGGTTTATTAACACGAGGTACGAAGGTGTCCAGCAACCACTAACACGTAATTCAGTTGATATCTGGATCCGCCCATTAGGCGAGGCAATGAAGCACAAAAGTTCAGAATTTTTTCCTTAAAGACGGATCGGAATGCGTTTTTTGCATTCTCTTCCAAAAATTTTTTGTAAAAAATGTGGCTACTTTGTGTTTCTGACAAACCGGAAATTGCATTGCTGCAGCCAAAAATGCATACAAAAAATGCATTTTTTGATACGGCTTTTGGAAGATTTAATAACTTTGTAAATAAGAGTCAGAACTGGCCCAAATCGGGTACTCGGGGGTTTTCGAGGTCGCTGATCACGATTATGGTGTTCAAATTGACCCCCCGAACACCTGGAGCTCAGGAACGCCGATGAACGTCATCTCCGTGGGACTGTCCCACAAATCACGCGGGGAAGGAGAGAAACTCGGCGCCCGAGGGTTTTTTGGGTCGCCGAATTCAAATATGCCATCGTCGAACACCCCCCGGACACCTGGTGCGCCCGAACCTGGACGTGGATGTCATCTCCGAGAATTTTCCTGACAAGATTGACAAAAACAACCCGAAAATCATTGTGGGGGCGTTTTTTGGGGCGCTTAATCCAAATTCCAGTTCCTTTTATTAGACACCTGCTTGTTTTTATACTACGCGCGTTTTTTTTTACTTTACGCCAGTTTTTTTTAATTTCTACCCGCTTGGTTATTCTTTTTTTCCTTTGCGCTTGTATTTTTCTTTTATTGTTCTTGATTTTTTTGCTTATTGACAACTTTTACTTTACGTCCGTTTTTCTTATTTTACGCTCGCCTTTCAATTTTGCAACCGCTTTCTTCTTTGTTTCGAGTGGAAGATGCCACTTGTAAACTTGCTTTGTTTCTCTCAGAGAGAGAGAGAGAGAGAGAGAAGAGCCATGCGGCTTTCTGTCAAAAAGAGTATACGCGCGATGGGAGTCATGTCGCTTATCTCAATAAGAATTCATTTTTGATTTGCATTGTGTGCATGGTACTATGTTCTCAATTCGACTTACCTTTGATTGCGATATTGGAGGACGTTTTGGGTGGTATTAAATAAAATACGGACTTCTTTCAGTAGGTTTAGTTTTTGCCACCTTTGTTCAACATTTAAGTACAAACAATTTGTAAATATCTCCGTTATATGTATCAGCCAATTTTGGAAAACTTTTTTTTCCTCAACGATTTTACAGAATTTACCCGTTATTTTCGGGAAGCTCTTTATAAATATATACAGTGTTGCTCAAGAAGAAACCGAGTTGGTATCGATATTTCTGGAATGCGACGTTCGATTGTGTTTTTTTTATAAAAATTAGTTATATTTCACTTTTCCCATATTTTCGAAGACAATGAAGTTACAGGTAAATCTAACACGAGACCTTTACATAAACCCTGTAGATCTCTCCACGTGGATCACATCAATTTCTAATTCATTTTTGGGTTTGCGCAAGCGCAATTTTCGTTACAAACACTCTTGAGATAATCGCTAATCCGCCTATAAATCGCAGATATCACTGATTGCTCGCCACACAACGCGCTCGTTCGGGGAACAATAAAAAATTCAATTAGAGCCTGCAAATATAACTAGTAACAATAACTATCCGCGGATCGCCGTTCGGTTTACTCACGGCGTGTTTGTCAACACGGGCCTCCTTAAAGCAAACACAACTATTTGCCGACCTCATAAAAAATTTAATTCATGCAGTCAACACCACCTTTTTATAGATGGTACTGGTTATCAGATATCAAACAGTTATAATTTGTTAGCGCGAGCATTCTTTCCTTAATCAAAAAGTAATTTATAAGACGGCCTAATAGCCCCGCGCGGGGTCGCGGCCCGTTCGTCGTTCAATTGTTTTCCTTGGGCGCTCAATTGTTTTACTTTGGCGGATTGGCTGGCACGGTTTTAATTGCCGGTCTGTGTACACAGTACACATCACACGTGCTGTGTTTTAAATGGTCTTGCTCGGGTAATTTAGTCAGTCGGTCGACGGTAGTGGCAAGTTTAATGGTACGACTCTGTATTATTCTTGAGGGCCGAGATGTTCAAGCCGGCCAAGTTGTTCTCTGGGCACCACCACCATCACCACCACCAACAGGTAGTTATAAGAATTTCGAATTTTAAACGAGTTGATTTATTTGTACATCCAATCGTGTTCTACTGGATGGTAAATTTTGCAAGCCCCCTGTATCTCCATCAGCTGTCAGCTCTAATTAATTTAGAATTATCACATTGCAGAATCTATATTTACATACACTCAGACGAGCTGTGGTATTTTCTAAGCATTAAATTATAGGACCTTTATAAAACAGTGTTTGTTCTAAGTTTTATTTTTTAGGTTAGGTTTGATATTTTATTGTACATTTTTCTGTACTGTTAAATATGCTACTCGCAAACGTTAATGTTACTATTCTATGCCTATATAATTTCTCACACACTTTGTATATTCCAACAAAATGTTCTTTTACAAAATATACACTAATGGAAAAAATGAAGGGGTCAAAAAAAAATCTAAATTTTCGGCGATTTTTCAAATGGCTGTATCTTTGATAAAAATGGTCGTATTGGAGTAAAAAAAAAAGCAATTTGAAGCTTGAAGTTTCTAATTTTTGGATCTTGCAAGAAAAATTTTCAAGTTTTTTTTGGTCTCGATACGACCATTTCTCGCTGAGCTATCGGACTTTCAATGAAAATGGATAATTTTCTCATTGTTCATCGATATCTCAGAAACCAATGGTTGCACAGAAAATCGACGGTGGGTTTCAGAAACTTGAATGAATTCTCTACAAGGTCCTGGCATGGTTTTTTAGAATTTTTTTTTATCCTTAACATGACTGAAAAATCGTAAAAAATAGGACTTTTAGGGGTCTTTTAGAAAATCACGTGCCAATATTGGAAAAATGACTAATGTTAAGTGTGCCTTTTACAGGTCATTGTACCCCTAAAAGCCCTACAGAGTTTCAATTCGATCCATCAAGCCGGTTTTTTGTTTCATTCGATTGAATTTTTTAAAAAATTAAAGGATCACGTTTTTTTGCCTTTAAATGCTCATAATCCGTAAAAAAATGAAAAAAAACATTCTTTTCCTGATTTTTTTTGACATTCTTATTGCAGAAAGCGTTTGAAATTATGAAAAAAAAAAAATTGAAAAATTTTTTCGAAAAAGAATTTTTTTTATTCAAACTTTTTTTCTACTGAAAAAAGGTGGTTTGAAAAAAACTTTGTTTTAGTGTTCTGTAAATTCGGAAAAAGCGTTTTATGAATTCAGAAGTATCGCAGCAATAATCTCTGAAAAGGGTGTAGATCGAGGTCAATATTCGGTTAGGGGTATCAACTTTTTTAAATTTAATTAAAATTCGGTCAGCATAATCACGAATTGAAGTAGGAGAATCGTGTCGAAAATACTTGGGGATTACCGAGGTAAATTTTCTGAAGTGAATCCAACGAAAAAATTTAAAAAAAAAAATTTTAAACAAATATTTTTTTTGTCATAACTTCAAACACTTTTCGCACGTGTGTAAAAGAACTATTTTTGGGATGAGAATTTCTACACTCAAATGGTTTCTATATGCTTTCCAACATAGCTTTGAGAAGATTAAAGTCTTAAAAGAATAAAAGTACAAGTGTCGGCTAAGTTTTGCTGCTTTGCAATGACAACACATTATTATTTTTTAAATAGCAGTCTTCAATTGGAAACTATTTTGATTCTAATGATTTTTTTTAGGTAAACACTCGAAAGGGCAGTTTAATCATAAAAAATTATGTAATAATTGAAATAATAACATATGAAAATAAAAAATGAAAATAAAAATATTATAACGAGTGTTCAAAATGGCCGCCATTTTCTTCAATGTAATTAAATTAATTCGATGCAAAAAAATGAAATGAAGGCTCTGGATTATTTAGAATTTATTTTTCAACGGAATTGTTGCATTTACAATTTATCCGCGATGTCAACTGGAGATAAATAAACCATAGATTTCAAGGCAACCCACAAGAAGTAATTACCTACAGAGTGTTAAGTCCGGTCAATGAGTTTTATAAACGCATAATGTCCCCTTTCTATCTATTGGTCAATTATACAGGATGACCTATTTTTTCTAGACGTTACCTGAATTTTTTGAGTTTCTGTGTCGTCTGACTTTTTTTTAAAGCATACTCGAAAATATCAACTATCTTCTGTGACAAAAAAATAATAATTACTAACTTTAGAAGTTTTCAATCATGGATATTTTGTTTTTTTATACAGAGTGATCCTAAATATCATGTACATCAGGAAGGGGGTGATTCTTTGGCTTATTTCTTGACTAAAAGTTCATATAAGCATAGGTCCGCAAACGCTTCGTTACCGATCTACAGGGCGTTGAAATTTTAAATTTTTTTTAGTTTTTTCTCTATAGCTCCCACAGTTTTTGAGATATTTACCTCAAATTTGTAATATAGGTTACGCTGTAGGGCTTACATCATTGGGCATGCCAAATGGTCGTGATATTCTACAATTTCATAGTAATTTAAACAAAAAAAATTTATTTGTTTAAATTTAATCTAATTTTAATAAAAAAATAATAAAAAAAATTAAATTAAATAAAAATTAATCATTTAAATGGAAAAGAGAGGAAAGGAAAATTATTATTATTATTTTTTGTTTAAATTACTATCAAATTGACCAAAGTTGGATTAATTCAAGAGCGATTTTCTCAGAAACCGTTAAAGATAACGATTTTAAACAAGAGTACCTTTTTAACGTAAAACAGTTCGGGAAAACGGAATTTGCTGTTCAATTTGTTAAACAGTCAAAGATGAAAAAGTTACACACGCAAAGTACCATGGGCCCCCCGTACCCACCCCATGGACCTTGTGGAAATAAATGGATTAGTCCATCAAATTGCTCATCAAAATTTAGCTGTGTATACCAAATTTCATTCATTTATCACAACGCGATTGAGAGATATTGCAAAAAAATGATTTCCATTCCTCCCTCTTCAATGGGTCCCTGTGCTCTTAGGAAGCATTTCCGGACCCATGTTCATATGAACTTTTTTACTTAGTTTTGATCATAGAATCGGCCTGTTCAGGGTTGGCAGCTAATTATGTGACACCCTGTATAGGTAACCTTATATGTATAATTTGACACAAATTGCTGCAAAATTTAAATTTCTTTCGATTTTACATGTCGAGGTTTATGTTTTATAGTTTGCAAGAAATGTTCGATTTTTCATATATTCTTTTTATTACTTGTTTTTTATTTCCACGTTAAAATATTAAGGCTGCATAATTGAATTTTGAAACTTTAATGGACTGCGAAAATGGCGTTTAAGAATTATTTAACGTAAAATATATCTAAATATTAGAAAAACAGTTACAAGAATGTGCAAACATACAAAATGATTGTAAAAACATTGAAAAGACCTACAATAATAACACAATGAATAATTTCGTTTCTGTATGAAAGCTTATTTTTTTCGATTGTGCATATTTTGCAGGCGAAGAATAAATTTTATCGGTTATAATTCATGTATGTGGAAAATGTTGATTTAAACTGTTTTTATTTTTACCATTTTGGTTTCATTTTTTAATACTGGAACAACAAAAAATATGAAAAACCTTGATTACCTCGCAAACTGAAAGCAATAGAGCCGAATATATGTTTCTGTCAAATTTAACAGGGTTTCATTTAAAAAAATCAAGTTATCCATGATCGAAAACTTGAAATTTCTAATGCTTATAATTACTATTTTTGTATTTGAAATGTATTAAGTAATTAATGCATTAGAAAGGTGTTTTCATGCTTGAAGATACTGAAAATGCAATTAAAGAAAAACGTTAAATAACATCGAAAAGCAGACTTTCCGAAATGCAGTAAATACGCAGGCTATTCTTTTTGAAAAAAACGTAGATCCGGATCAGCAAAAGTAGAACGCGTTGTGTAATGGAAATAATTTTGAATTGTGAAGAAATCGATTTAGTGCAACTTTTTTGTATTAGTGATATTGATAATATGCTACGGAATAGTTCGTCTTAAAAGGAACGTCCTGTATGTATACCATCATGTACCACTTTTGGTATAACACAGAAGCCTCTAATACATTTTTTCAAATTATTTGAAGGTGTTTCATAATAGAACATTTACTATACGAGTATTATTTAAAACCATGATTGAAACCAAATGCTTAGAAATGCTATTAAAAAATAATTTGCCATTGTGACATATTTATTGTACTGTTTAATTCACTGTGTTATGATGTCACGGTTATAATAGCACTGCAAGTCGATCTTTTACATTTTTTGTCGTACTATTTAACCACTTTTATCTACCGTGGAAATTTTTATTTACCACTCCTTGAGTACAGTTATAAAATAATCGTGTAATCAGTTGCAATATGATGCTTTGTTTAACTTAGAAGATATTTGAAACATTAATTAAATTGCTAATATATTTCGAATGAAATGCTATTAACGAGGCTATTAGTGCCAGTAAATACGACAGTGATATTACCTTTTATCAGTGGCGTACAGGTAGATAAGCTACAGTGACTTCATAAAGGACAGCGTGGCAATGTGTCACAGCACTTTGATTAAATAATTTTTAGAACATTTTTTGACATTTGTGTTGATTTTTTTATTATAGTGTATTTGTGATATATTGAACGTTCAGGGTATTTAGAATATCTCAATAAAAGGCTAAAACTAAGAATTGTGTGTATTAATTTCTAAGGAAAGATGTAGCTATGTTTTTTATTATAATTTTCAGTGATAATGCAATCAGTTTTATCCTTTAAATATTTAGTCCAGTTGGTAGAGGTTCGGCCCGTGTCAAACCTTGATAACCCGGAAATAACTACACAGCCTGTTATTGTACTCATCATTTAAAGTATTCCTGTGTAGTTATTTCCGAGTTATCAAGAAAATGTCACCAACAGTAACTTTTCGGCCTCTGTCGATTTATTTAAATAATCAAATATAAAAGCAACAATTCGTCTTCACTTACTGTTACTGAAAATACGGAGTCAAACTCTCCTAACTAACCTTGTTTTTACATCAAATTTATATATAACAATTCTTTTTCATTGTCATGGATGAATTTTTTATTAGTATAAA